CTTCCCTTTAACCACAGCAGGGTGAACGTGGCCAAGTCACCACGAGGGAGAGACGGTGCTGGGCCAGAGAACGCCTAGCTTCCCTCTCTGGCCCAGTGAGTTGGAGGGATAGAGTTACCAAGTGGGGTTGGGAACAGATCTATTCACCCCAACCACACAGCTGCTGTCATGTTGAAATGTTGTGGCCATTAAAAGACACTGCATGCAACATGGATGAGACATGTCCACAAAGTAATGATGCTATTTTTTTTCCCTCTCTCTCAACAAATAGAGCACAAAGCTAGCTTCCTGAATTCTCAAAGCCAGCACCTTTCTTCCTGTTTAACAGAGGAAAAGAAAAATCTCAAGTATGGATGGCAAAAGTGCCTACTCTTGTTGTAGGTGCCTGGTCTTGGTGACCGCTCTCCCGAGCAGACTCTTGAGATGGAGACCAAGATGATTCGGGGTCACACTGTACTTTGGACCCAGCTGGATCACCCAGACCTTCTATGTCAGACTTGATTCCTCATATGTCACATCTTTCGATAACTTCCAAATATCAAAATTCAGCCTCAAAGGACAAAGACTTGTGAGCAGGGAGGGTTTTTGAAAGAATTTGCTGAAGGTGATTCCAAAAGAGGAGTTGTCAAACGTCGAGTCTGAGTAATAGCAGTTAAGTAGTTAGTCTCCTCCAGGAATGATTACAAAAGGCACCACAGTGATTTGGATGTATAAGTTCTGGTGTGTTTACATCACGATAGACACGAAAAGGGGCGCCTAGGTGGCTCAGTCGGTTAAGCGGTTAAGTGTCTGTCTTCAGCTCAGGTCATGATCCCAGGGTCCTGGGATTGAGCCCCACGTAAGGCTCCCTGCTCAGCGGGGAGCCTGCTTTTCCCTATCCCTCAGCCCCTCCCCCACCGCTCGTGTTCTCTCTCTCTCAAAAAGATAAATCTTTTTTTAAAAAAAGGATAGAAACAAACAAAAACACCCCGAGGCTCCTAACTTGACATTCACCTTGAACAATAAGGCAGGCAGAAATAAAGCAATGGCAATGCACTTGGGTTTGGAGAGGAAAATTCAACCTCCGCTCAGACAATACATGACTGCTACTTCACCCCATTCACTTTGATGAAAAAGTGACACTGACTTCCACCATCAAGAATCAGTAGAACAGACAAATTCCTGGGATAACATTTTGTTTGATCCTAATCTACAACATCTATAAGATCAAAGACAAAAAAACCCGGGGGGGGGGGAGGGGGGCAGCAAACCCTTAATATACACCTCCCACCTTCCCACAAATTCTGAAGGCCCCCTCCCCAAACAATCCTCAGTGTCCTAATACAAACACATCAAGAAAACAAGCCTTGGGAATTTGAATTCCTGGCATCCTAAAGAACAGACAAACATCAAAACAGGGAAAGAAAAAAAAGCACTCCTTTTTCAACCAGGTTTTATTTAGAACAAATTTTTTTTTAAAACTGCATTTCAAAGTCAAGCAGTTCCTAGTTAACCGCTGTTAAATATATGGCATTTATCTGTCCCAAATTAAAAAGAAAAAAATCCTAAGAATTCCGAAGACTCACCAAGTTAACAGTGTCTGGGGCTGGAAAAATACCTTCCCCAGACAGTTCTTCTAAGAATGTCCCGTAGGGGGCACTAGAGAGGTGTGATTGGGACTGACTTGGGAATCACAGTCATTTCTGGTAAAAGTTCTTTGATGTGAGGAATGTCCCAGCCTGGTACAGTTGGCAAAAGTTCACTCCGGGGAATTTTGTGTGTGTGTGTGTGTGTGTAGGTAGGAAGGAT